ATCTGCCAAACCCCAAGGTCTTCCTATAGATCTGCCAAACCCCAAGGTCTTCCTATAGACCTGTCAAACCCCAAGGTCTTCCTATAGATCTGCCAAACCCCAAGGTCTTCCTATAGACCTGTCAAACCCCAAGGTCTTCCTATAGACCTATCAAACCCCAAGGTCTTCCTATAGATCTGCCAAACCCCAAGGTCTTCCTATAGACCTGTCAAACCCCAAGGTCTTCCTATAGACCTGTCAAACCCCAAGGTCTTCCTATAGACCTGTCAAACCCCAAGGTCTTCCTATAGACCTATCAAACCCCAAGGTCTTCCTATAGACTTGTCAAACCCCAAGGTCTTCCTATAGATCTGCCAAACCCCAAGGTCTTCCTATAGACCTGTCAAACCCCAAGGTCTTCCTATAGACCTATCAAACCCCAAGGTCTTCCTATAGATCTGCCAAACCCCAAGGTCTTCCTATAGACCTGTCAAACCCCAAGGTCTTCCTATAGACCTGTCAAACCCCAAGGTCTTCCTATAGACCTGTCAAACCCCAAGGTCTTCCTATAGACCTATCAAACCCCAAGGTCTTCCTATAGACCTGTCAAACCCCAAGGTCTTCCTATAGACCTGTCAAACCCCAAGGTCTTCCTATAGACCTATCAAACCCCAAGGTCTTCCTATTAAACCCCAAGGTCTTCTTATAGATCTATCGAGCCCCAAGGTCTTCCTATAGATCTATTAAACTCCAAGGTCTTCCTATAGATCTATCGAGCCCCAAGGTCTTCCTATAGATCTATCGAGCCCCAAGGTCTTCCTATAGATCTATTAAACCCCAAGGTCTTCCTATAGATCTATCGAGCCCCAAGGTCTTCCTATAGATCTATTAAACCCCAAGGTCTTCCTATAGATCTATTAAACCCCAAGGTCTTCCTATAGATCTATTAAACCCCAAGGTCTTCCTATAGATCTATTAAACCCCAAGGTCTTCCTATAGATCTATTAAACCCCAAGGTCTTCCTATAGATCTATTAAACCCCAAGGTCTTCCTATAGATCTATCAAACTCCAAGGTCTTCCTATAGATGTATTAAACCCGAAGGTCTTCCTATAGATCTATTAAACCCCAAGGTCTTCCTATAGATCTATTAAACCCCAAGGTCTTCCTATTGATCTATCAAACCCCAAGGTCTTCCTATAGCTCTATCAAACCCCAAGGTCTTCCTATAGCTCTATCAAACCCCAAGGTCTTCCTATAGATCTATCAAACTCCAAGGTCTTCCTATAGATGTATTAAACCCCAAGGTCTTCCTATAGATGTATTAAACCCCAAGGTCTTCCTATAGATCTATCAAACCCCAAGGTCTTCCTATAGATCTATCGAGTCCCAAGGTCTTCCTATAGATCTATTAAACCCGAAGGTCTTCCTATAGATCTATTAAACCCCAAGGTCTTCCTATAGATTTATTAAACCCCAAGGTCTTCCTATTGATCTATCAAACCCCAAGGTCTTCCTATAGCTCTATCAAACCCCAAGGTCTTCCTATAGCTCTATCAAACCCCAAGGTCTTCCTATAGATGTATTAAACCCCAAGGTCTTCCTATAGATCTATCAAACCCCAAGGTCTTCCTATAGATCTATCAAACCCCAAGGTCTTCCTATAGATCTATCAAACTCCAAGGTCTTCCTATAGATGTATTAAACCCCAAGGTCTTCCTATAGATCTATCAAACCCCAAGGTCTTCCTATAGCTCTATCAAACCCCAAGGTCTTCCTATAGCTCTATCAAACCCCAAGGTCTTCCTATAGATCTATCAAACTCCAAGGTCTTCCTATAGATCTATCAAACCCCAAGGTCTTCCTATAGATCTATCAAACCCCAAGGTCTTCCTATAGATCTATCAAAGCGGGATTAACCATCTGGGCCGTAATAGCACAGATCAACTCTCACAGATCAGATTGTTTTCTTGATTTGCCACAACGTACAAAATATAAAGTGCTAACCTAACCAGAAACGCACGAACCTAAACAACCCCTCTAACCCAACCTACAGATGCGTAGAAAACGTGGATATGTGTGAGCTGCTGCTTTTCATAGTAGTTTGTAATTTGAACGTTGGGGGGACCATAGCGTACAAAACGAGACGTATTAGTTGAACAAACAGTGATAAGTAAGATGGATAATACTTTTGTTTTACTTTATATTGATCTTTACTACCAAAGACCTTAACAATTTGCTAAAAGTTTAACCAACACAATGAAGAGGAATATCAAGATAATATATGATTAAAAAAGAAGTGAAGAGAGAAGCGAGGGGAACACATTACAGAATAGGAATAATAACAATAGGATAAAGAGGAGAGAAGCCAAGAGGAATGTGAGGCTGCCATCAACTCCTTCATTCCAGTCAACCAAACTTTCAGTCCTCGTTAGTTAGTGTGTAGAAACCTCGTCTCTTGCAACCAACACGTTTGTGGTGGGGGAGGGGGTTGTGGTGGTTGTTTGTGGTAGTTGATTGGGTTATTGTTGTGGTGGGGGATTGTGGTGGTTGTTTGTGGTAGTTGATTGGGTTATTGTTGTGGTGGGGGATTGTGGTGGTTGTTTGTGGTAGTTGATTGGGTTATTGTTGTGGTGGGGGATTGTGGTGGTTGTTGATTGGGTTATTGTTTATGGTGGGTGTTGGTGGTAGTTGACTGACCTATTGTTTGTAGTGGGTGTTTGTGGTGGAGAATTGCAGAGGTTGATTAGGTACTTGGTTGTGGTAGTTGATGTGTTTTTTGTGGGTGGCTGTTTTTCCCTATTTCTAACAATTTACCTGAATTACCTGCGGTAAATTCACTAACACTCTAGTGGCCTCTATGAGGACAGGAAGCCGGCGGCTTGTCAAAGATCCCCCATTTGTCCTGATCCTGATCCTAATAAGATAATCAGCATCCTGATACTAATCACGTCTTCTGTAGTGTAACTTCCCTGAGAAGGATTTGCTAGAGTGGTCTTCGTAAATAGTCACCACACTCTTATAAGACATGTTAGGCACGTATTTATTTATTTATATATATACAAGAGTTCTTATATTCGTGTACAGCCACTAGCACGCATAGTGTTTCGGGCAGGTCCTTAATCCTAATTTTCACCAGAATACGACCCGCCAAATCGTTTAACAACCAGGTGCCCATTCACTGCTGGGTAAACAGAGGCTACAGTTAAGGACTGGTGCCTGGTAAATCCTCCCCGGCCAGGATACGAACCCCAGGACAAAGCGCTCGCAAAACGCCAAGCGAGTGTCTTACCACGTATCGTGTTTGATTCTCAAGCAATGTTCAGGCAACTGCAACCTGCCGGTTTTTGAACAGGATAATAGGTCCATATGAAATGTTTCCCCAGAGAACTATTTGTCTGTAGGTAATTATGAGGATAAAGCGCAAAGCCAGCATGACTACAGTATATCGCAAGCTATTTTAACTGTAAATATAGTGGAAGTGTTTTTTTCCTTCCAGGATGGTCACTGAGTAGGCTACCTCTCGTTCCCTCGCCTCAACTGATGCGGGTTTCAATAACCAAAATTATATATACATGTTTCTCCCGCTCATTAGACTCCTTCAGCTGCCAAAATATTGTTCTCTAACGTAGGTTTTATAGTGTAATAAAGGGCTAGGATAAACAAAAGAAATGTGTGTCTTTTCCCAGAAAGGCATTGTTTAGACTTTAAGACAGTTGATACGCGCATTCAAAAAATTCAAAATTCAAATTCAAATTTTATATTCGGGAAAAGTACATAAATAGATGATTTGCAAACATAAAGTTGGATTTATAGATAGAGCTAGTACATACAATACCTAAAGCCACTAATACGTCATAGCGTTTCGGGCATTCGAAGCATTCATGCATTTTCTTAGGCCGACACTCGCGCATTGGAAAGAGTATTCCAAATGTAAATTGCTATGGACTGTCGGAGCTGTCGCAGACTGAAACACATTTGTCTCTGTGTATCGTTTGTCAAGTGTAAGTGTGTGTGGAGGAGCAGGTGAATGTTCCCAGAGGCACACAGACCGCGGACGAGGCTACGAACAGATTAGCAGTATAATGAATATATTATTATTAATTGATTATACTTCGTGTATAATATATTAAGTATAATTATTATAATTATGTAATAATTCAATTATTATTAAATTAATGTTGCGCTGTGTTATTTGATGTTCCATTGTGTTCTTTGGCTTTCCCACTCTACGGTGTTCTGTGTTGTTGCTTGGTGTTCAGCGGTGTTCCCTGGTGTTCTAAGGTGGTTTATGGTGTTCCAACGTGCTTAACCTCATATAATGACTCAACTACCCAGGCTAACAATAAAAGCTGAAATCACACTCCATGGCAGGCGCGCGAAGGATGACAGGACTAGCCAAACTACAACTTTTTTTCTTATAGAGGTAAGTCATTTTCCACATGTGTAAGAGAGATTATCTTAATAGATGTGATAAATATTGACTTATTACATAAATGTCTCCTCATTCAGCACATTTAATTTATAGGTTATGGGCTAATCCAAGCATTTTTATAATTTACAAATATAATTTATGGCTTATGAAACTCTCAGAAAATTACTCGCCTTAAACAACCGTTAGACTCACTTTACACAGCTGGCAGTCTCACCTTTCACAGCTGGTTGTTTGTTGTTATAGATTAAGCTACTCGCAACAAGTTCCAAGTAGCACGGGCTATGGTGAGCCCGTAACTTACCTGGCACAGGAGCGGGGCAAGTAGCACGGGCTATGGTGAGCCCGTAATGGACTTACCTGGCACAGGAGCGGTGCTGTGTCTGCTGTCACAGCTGGCTGGTTGTCTAACCTTATACAATTGGTAGACTCACCCTACACAGCTGGTAGACTCACCTTACACAGCTGGTAGGCTCTCCTTACACAGCTGGTAGACTCACCTTTCACATCTGGCTGAATAATCTTACACAGCAGGTAGACTAATCTTACACAGCTGATAAGACTCACTCCAAAACAGCTGGTAGACTCACCTTACACAGCTGGTAGACTCCGAGTAGTTCAATGTCTTGCAGCATGATGCCAAGATTATCTCAAGAATTAGCCTCGTGGCCTCTGTCGTTAGCAGCTGTTCTTCAATTACCGTAGCTGTAAATGAGCCATATGACGTACACATTTATAATCTTTCTACGAGATTTATTTGCAAAATGCGTTCAGGTTCAGAGGTTAGCTCAGCATTTTTAGGTTACCTTAGTTTGTTCGTTTGTTAAAAGTTGTGAGAGAACAGAAAAGTTGTTGATTCTCACCACGTGTTTCATCGGTATAATTTCTCGCTGGCTTCTTCCTTTGACTTATACGGTATAGGCTAATAGTGAATAAGGATGACTGTTATATATGTTATTTTAACTTTAATTTGTTTAATATAAAAAATGTAAAGCGTACTGAGAAGACATCGACATATCTGGCACTTGTGGTGATTATCGTATTTTGTCTCAAACTCCTATAACTATGATAAGAGCCCCTTATCCTGTGGTAGAGGAGGAGTATATGGCATAAGAGTGCCACACACACACACACAGTCGAGGAGGAGAGGGGGACTCAGCAAATATACAGTGCCAAGCGTCTGGGTAATCTTGACACGATGCCAGGCAGAAAGAGCGAAGCTGATGCCCCTCCTCCCTCCACGGCGGCCAGCGACACACTGACTGGGACACTCCCCGGGGACCTATGTAACGCTTATACAACTACCCTCCACAAATTATCAGAATGAACCTCCACACTTTTCAAATATATTATTAACAAGAGTATACGATTCAATTCAATTTCTTTCCTTATTATGCACCCCATACCCATCCCGTGGGCGGTGGTGAAAATGATTACAGAGATACATAATGGGTTCAGGAACTGAACCCTCTAGTACGTTTAGCTAAGCAAATAACAATCTTTTGACGCTAGTTACAAAATTATTAATGTTATACATACATGTACACATACTCATACATACATGTACATATATATACGTATACATATATACATACAGTATACGACTTCCGATCTGTCATTATTCATACATATTCACCTAGTTGTGCTTGCGGGGGTTGAGCTCTGGCTCTTTGGTCCCGCCTCTCAACCGTAAATCGACTGGTGTACAGATACCTGAGCCTACTGAGCTCTATCATATTTACATTTAAAACTGTGTATGTGTATGCATTTAAAACGTAGCTTAGTGTGTGTGTGTGTATTCACCTAGTTGGGTTTGCGGGGGTTGAGCTTTGCTCTTTCGGCCCGCTTCTCAACTGTCAATCAACTGTTTACTAACTACTTTTTTTTTTACCCACACACCTCAGGAAGCAGCCCGTGACAGCTGACTAACTCCCAGGTACCTATTTACTGCTAGGTAACAGGGGTTCACGATGAAAGAAACTTTGCCCATTTGTTTCTGCCTGGTGCGGGAATCGAACCCGCGCCACAGAATTACGAGTCCTGCGCGCTGTCTACCAGGCTACCAGGCCCCATAGTGTTGACCAAACCTTAGATATATATGAGAAATTAACTTAATTAAGTTCATTAGTCTGTTTTATGAGGAGATTAATTTCTAGTTTAGCCCATTAATCTCTTATGAATTGATTAATTTCTAGTTTAGGTCATTAACCTCCCTTAGGCAGATATTTATTTCTAGTTTAGCCAATTAATGTCTGTCTAGAACGCGTCTGGGAGCACTCAGAACATAGGTTCGAACCCTCATCACGGCTCCTGTGGATTTGCTCTTTGATATATCACGTTAATATGATTTCTCAGTGTACTGTATTCAATGTTACAGTTGCCATAATATAAGGTTTGTAACTGGCAGGCATTGCAAGCTTTCAGAGGGTATATATCATGATTATCCAAACGAAATAATTGACTAGGATTTAGATCAATATATTAGTTCGGATTATATGGTTGGACATTCCTTGGCACATTAACGGCAGATTTGTTTTCAAATCCTTGTTTTTGTTTTCACATTAACTCAGTGATATGAGGCATAGATATTGTTTTCCTGACCAAGTTTGTATGAAGTCAGAACTACTTCAGTATGCGGTGCGTACGCCAAGTCTAGGTTCCCACGGCAGGACGGAGACATTTGGGCAAGGTTTCCTTTTACTTGATGCCTCTATTCACGTAGTAGTAAATATGTGCCCGTACCTAGGCAACTGTTGTAGGTTGTATCCTGAGGAAGGTCAGTAGTTGCTTAAAGGGGAACCTTAACAAGCCCAGCAGGCTACCTGTCCCCGACTACCGGAAATCAAACGACTAGTGAATATTTAAGTTAAGTTATATTAAGGCCTCTGCACACAATTTATCAAAGGTGTGCAGAGGCCTTCAGACTGAGGAACATTAAATGATTGTCATCATTGTTGGTGCGTGTCTGCGTTTAGGTAATGGCGTTAGTTATGATATATGTCCACTTTTAAGTGCAAGGGACATGAGAGAGAGCAGTGTCTGTAGAGAGGCGGCCCAGTTGTGTCCACGGACACCCCCACCCCCACCCCCCACCCCCCACCCCACTCGCGATAGGAACCTCCTCTCCTTGTCAGGACAACTGCACTTCGGCCAGCACCAGCGGAGTGATGGAGGCTGCAAAGAACCATCAATTTAAGCGTTACTGACATGTGGATTCAAAGTCAGATGTTTCAAACCACTAGGTGACCGATTAGCGAAATAGGTAATCCGACATGTTGTAGACATTAGTGCAGACGACATCAAGGTACAACTTCAAGCAGATGACATTCCTTAAATAGCTTGCGGGAGGAAGAGCTCAGTCTTGCGCATCAATCTGGCTTAATGTATTGTACTTTGCTTCAAGTTGATATACGTGTTAATCTTTATTTGTCTTCTTGGGATGAGGGGGGGGGAGAATTCAAAATGGGTCAACTCCTGTGGTACAGGAAAGTGTCGCTGTTCTCTCTCTTGGTCAAAATTAATCTGGTACAATCTGAGTTTAATTGCAGTTTTAGTAATCCATTTTAAGGGGTGTTGTCCATCTAAGATGAAGGCATTGGGACAGCCGTACAGGATTGGGAGTAGGCTTGTCTAAGAAACTTTTTACCAATCAAATACCTACTGACAACCTACATTTTCAGCTAATACGTCGTATTTTTCACAGTTTACTAGTCCGTATTGCTACAAAAAAGTAACCCAATATCCCCGTTTTCTAAGCATTAATAGGTTACCTATTAATGCTTAGAAAAGCGTTGTTTGGACTTACACATTTCTGTCTTGCCAAAACAGGTGCATTTTTGACGGCGTGACAAATTAACCGAGAGAACACCATTGATCATCTAGGATCCATTTTCGTGGTGCTTAATGGGAGAGGAGGGGGGGGGAGAACTGACTCAGGGTAACCTTGAGTGCTGCACTCAGTCCCTGGGAGTGTGGACACCTGGGTCAAACTTGTCCATATGTCGTGAGACATAGAAAAATTTGACAGCATTCCCTTTCACCTGAGGCTAGTTGCCCCCTAGCAGATATACAGGTACCTGTGAGGCAACTGTTGTGAATACATTCCGGGAAAATTCAGTCATTGGCTTAGAGTGGACCTCGATCAGCCAACCAGGCAACTTGGGACCAAATTCACGAAGCAGTTACGCAAGTACTTACGAACGTGTACATCTTTCTCTCAATCTTTGACGGCTTTGGTTACATTTATTAAACAGTTTACAAGCACGAAAACTTCCCACTCAGTTGTTGTCATTGTTATAAACAGCCTCCTGGTGCTTCGGAGCTCATTAACTGTTTAATAATTGTAAACAAAGCCGCAAAAGATTGAGAAAAGATGTACAGCAGGTTCGTAAGTGCTTGCGTAACTACTTTGTGAATCTGGCCCCTGTCCCAGACGATGGGAAACCACACTGTTAAAACATCAACAGTCTTGCCCAACCAGAAACGTAGCAACCCAAGCAACCCACCCAACCTTTCGAGGCCGATGTATATACAACCTCAGTATTACGGTAGTTTGATCACTAATTCCTCGCATTTTCTGCAGATTCGTCGATTGCGTAAAAACCGCGACATATTACGTGAAAATGTGAGCTGTCACGGGTAGAATATTGGGATTGAAAACTCTTGTCTAAAGCCTCTCTTGCTGTGACGTCTGTCAGGCGCCAGCCTTGTTGGCCGACTCCAGCTTTTTAGCATTTATATGACGATTTAAGGATTCTATTGTTGACAAGGACACCTCGCAGGTGGTACAGAAGCCTCTCCCAGCTGGTGGGACACTTCACAGAAGCAACAGGTGGTCACTCCTAGCCTGGGGGGTAGAGGAGGGCTTCTGAAGTGACAAGGTGCTATCTGGACGGTGTTAACATCCCACGAGTTCCCATATTACCTCCACCTCCTTCCCTATCCACCTCCTCCTTCTCCCCTATCCACCTTAACCTCCTTCTTCCCCACCATTCCGCTCCTTCTCCCCCACCCACCCCCTCTCTCCTTCCACAGCCTCCCCCACCCCACCCCCCTCTCCTTCCACAGCCTCCCCCACCCATGGCCTGCTGTCCACCGCTGCTTTTGACAAACACATTGCACACCATTTCAGTGGAGGAGTCTCTGAGACCTGAGAAAGTATGCACCCGTCTACGTCATCGCTGCTCTAAAAACAAATACCCTAATAACCAAATGTAACCTAACCCATCCGAACTTAACCTTATCTATCCTAACCTGGCCTGACATAACCTTATCTTTCCTAACCTGGCTCAACCTAATGTAACCAAACGAACGTACGATAATATGTTGTGTTTATGGGTAACGTCACTGTGACGTCATAATGTCAATGTTGGCACAGGTTTTGGACCCTACAGGATCCGCGGCCCTATATCTTCACCTGTCAAGGGTCCAACCCAACTTACGACGTCTCTTAAGACTGGATTAATTAAACTCTTGTAGCTCCGCTTACTTTGTTTAGATTTTGCAAGGTGCTTGGTGCCGTGTCCGTGCACCATGGGGTACGTGTATGGTACAATAGGGTGTGGGGGGTGGTATCACGGGCCGCGGGTGTGATACCAGAGTGCGGGTTTGATACCAGAGCGTGCGGGTTTGATACCAGAGCGTGCGGGTTTGATACCAGAGCGTGCGGGTATGACACCAGAGGGTGCGGGTACCTGGTGGAGCCACAGGTGTCAGTGAGCAGTAAGGATGGGTTGTTATGCTGGAGATGTTTATAGATAGCTTCTACGCAGTTATCTGATCTCCCTCTACACTGATTACCTGTCATATCTCTTGCACTCCTGATAGATGTAGTGTGCTGATTGTAAAGTTGGGGAGTACTCACCTAGTTGTGTTTTCCAGGGTTAAGCTTCGCTCTTTGCTCCCGCCTCTCAACTGTCAATCAACTGGTGAATAGATTCCTGAGCCTACTGGGCTCTATCATATCTACATTTGAAACTGTGTATGGAGTCAGCCTCCACCACATCACTGCCTAATGCATTCCACCTGTTAACTACTCTCACACTGAACAAATTATTTATAATGTCTCTGTGGCTCATTTAGATACTCAGTTTCAACCTGTGTCCCCTTGTGCGTGTTCCACCCGTGTTAAATAATCCGTCTTTATCTACTCTGGCAATTCCCCTGAGAATTTTGTGTGTGGTGATCATATCTCCTCCGACCTCTTCTGACATCCAGCGACATAGCGTGGTGTAGTGATGGTGGTGTGGTGGCGTGGTATTGGGG